AGCTCTCAGATACTCGGGCAGACTGTTCCAGATGATCGGAGCATAACAGCTAAAATCGGTTTCACCAAAGGTTTTAGTCCTGCACTTTGGAACAACTAACCGACTTGTGCCAGAGAAGTACAGGAAATAACAAAATAAATAAATGACACTATTAACTATTAATAATGACATCTTGTTCAATAAACCACATTAAAGTTTGTTTGTGAGTAAAATCTGATAAAATGGTAAAAACAAAACATCTCCAGGTTGTTTCCGAACATCTGTTTTGATTGTCAGATGGATCTGACTTTAGGTCTCAAACCTGCATTACTGACCCCCCAACATTTTAAAAACATAAACAACAGCTTCAGAGGCCCACGTGCAGCCTCATGCTCTCCGTTCCCCCGGGCTGAAATCTAAAGCGTATGTATGAACGCTGAAACTGTCATCCCTGCTGAGACGAGAAGAACATTTCATGACACCGTGTCATAATTCTGGCACCATGGAGAGCAAGACTGAGCCAGCGTTACCACATGTGTGACACAATAAATGTATGTTCCTCTTTTCAACAGTGCTGTCAAATCCCAGTCACATCAGATTCACTCATCCAAACCACATCAGCATTGACAAAAAAATTTGGTTTCACACATGGAACTCATAACATAGGTTTAATTATCCACGTTTTCTTTTGTCATCAACACAAAGGAATGCTGTACTTAAAAGGCTTCAAACTGGGGCCAACTCAAATTGGACAGAAGAGACAACAGATAGTCACACAGAGCCAGTTCTGGATTGAATTACTATGACTGCATATATAGGATGAGTAGGGAAAATATCATCGGCTTTGTTTTAGCCTCCCCGTGGCAGTAAAATAATAGAGAACAGTTTTAAAATATGTCCTATAAATCCATGTTGGTCGAGATTCTTAACCTGAGAATCAAACTGTGCATTCAGAATTCATGCAAATCTTCAGGCTTTAATATAGAGTAGTAAAAGTTCTGAATTACTCTGCACCATTGAAGGGCATGTTTTCTCATCATCATTACAGGGCTGAGAATCCTTGTGATTGGATGGTTGTATATCTGTTATTATGATTGTTGGTCTTATTCGGAACTAAAACAGCACAAATATCTGCAGGTTTAGATCCATTTCAAGGAAACTGTAAACGCTTGAGTCTACTTATAGATCCCATTGTGCTGTAAAAGCTAAAACAACATCGTACTCATTCAAAAAGCCACTTGTAAAACCAAAATAATGCAGATTACAACTCCCGTTTTGTTTTAATTCATACCTTCCTCTGGGAAACCGCCCCGCACTGTGCAGATGGAAAACCAAACAACTGCCTCTGGCACTAACTTCTCTCTTCAGATGGTGATAAAACATGATGCGTTTGTCATCCGTTCCTTTTGCAGGCTATCCTCCTTTGCAGCCTGTGTCTTTCAAGCCTCAATCACCCAGCCGGCAAGGTATTGTAGCAGTTCATTATTCAGTTACTACGCATGCATCTGCAGGTTTGCCATTCAACTACATCAGTGCAAAAAAACAACAACCCCAAAAACTGGAAAAGCTGTGAATAATTTGTAGCCTGAGAGTGCGAGGGAGTGGGAACTGGATGCGTTTAGTTTAAGGAGATGTGGGCGTACGATGGAAGGATTTTAGCTCATCTGAATGCACTCACCAGAAAGTGTTTACCCCGGGCTGCATGGTGTTACATTTGGTGACGTTGGAGACAATTCCTGAAGTAGATAATGGCTACAGTCAGTGGCTAAAAGTTGATTCTGTATATTGATTTTTAACATATTAGAAACCCTTGAGCTCACAGCCGTGACTGTAGGCATAAATACACAATCAACACTTTCTATATTTGTACCTTGTAGTTCCCGTAGCAACGAAGATGCACTGGAACCCGACGCATCACGCTCCAGCTGAACCACCAGGTAAAAATCAGCTCAATTCTAGTAACTGCATCGAATAAAGTAAATAAAAATACAAATCGTTAGCTTAAATATAAGGATTTTGTGAAGGCGTCAAGTTATGCATTTCTTTCAGTTACTGTATATAAAGTGAGAAATGTAGTTTGTCTTTGAAATGAGGCGCTGATCGACTTACACGTTATCGTTCCAGCTCCTGCCGACATCGGCGCAGATCCCTTCTCCTTCTCTGCCGGCCTCACGCAGCAGCCGCTCTCTGCAGACTTTGGCTTCATCCGCTTCAACAGAGTTCTGGTCAACGACGGAGGACACTACAATCCCCACACAGGTACACAACAGCAGCAGATTTAATATCTGTTGCAGTGTCACTACGACACTGTACATGGACATTGACATAGTCAAGTTGCATAGTAACACCAGTTGGTTTCTTCGAGTCTTTTGTGGTTTCTTTCGTTTTTGGTCGGCTCTGCCCTTCACATCTGTGCGACATCTCGAGTTAAATTTATCTCCTTTGCTAAAGTTTCTCTTCTTTACTTTGTGCATATAACAAAACAAACGAGACGAGATACACAGTAGCATAAAAAATGCACAGGTGGGTTGGAAAAAAAAACAACCCTGAGGGCTTGAACCAATCCATATTTATTTTGTGGTACCGCAAACTAAACACAAACTTTTAAATTAATTTTTGTTCAGAATGAGGACTGGATTTTGTCTCTTCCGTTGGAAGGCCATTAGGTTTTGGTGGAAGGGAACAGAGGGAATTATTTCACAATACAAGAACTATTGTTTTAAGAAAGACTTTAAACATAACTTGTTCTCAAGGCTTCAAAACTAATCCAGCTATTAGGCTATGACAACAGGACCCACGGTAGGAGTAACATTACGTTCTAGTCATTGATCTCACCCACTCGTTCCCTTTCTTATCTCCTCAGGGATCCTCACCGCACCTCTGGATGGCCGATACCTGATTTCCGGACTGCTGACCGCAAAGCAGGGTGACCGCGTGGAGGCCGTCCTGTCCGTGTCCAACCGCAGCGTCCACAGGCTGCAGAGCTCGGCGGGGCCTGCGGCCAGTCAACACGGGGGCTCAGCCGGCGGCAACTGTGGCTGCGGAGGCTCGGTGTCCTTCAGTCTGATCCTGCCCCTGAGGAAAGGAGACCGCGTGGGCCTGGTGAGGACCAGAGGCCAGCTGGCCACCACCAGGGCCAGGGAGATCCTGTCCATCTACAGCGCCATCTTCCTGTACGCACCACAGGACAAGAGATAGCTGGAGCTCAGCTGGACTAGTTTGTTCCCAGACAGTTGGACTGGAGATGTTGGCGAAAGCATAGGTTTCACTGTTTTGCTGTGATGCCGCTTCTTTGCCACACAGTGCCGGTGTGTGAAGATCCTCACTTATAAATTCAGCTGAAGTCATTACATTGCCATATATACCTGAATACAAGAAGCAGGATTTGTTTCTAATATATTTGATTATCAAGATGCCTTTTTTGTACCTATTGTGAATGTCTTGTGTAAATAAGTGTTTGTAAATTAACATAAAAATTCATAAAATGTCATTTTAACAAAGCCATCTCAGAGACTCAGTAGGCAAGAACGTGATATCACCATCCATAAACTGTGATAAATCAAAGCGTACGCTCACTCCATCTTACTCTGTAACCCACTGTAGAAGGAGAGAATGATTAATAAATACACATGAAGAGGTTTTGCAACACAACTTGCTTTTATTAATATTACAGACTCGGCTGGCTTCAGAAACTGCACTGAGGAAGACGGTCAGAAGGCAAAAAAAAACCAAACACGTGTCATCACAAAGTGGGTGTGGATGAAAAAATAAATTCCCCCTCACTTGACTCCCAAGACTGAACATACTCGAGCAGCAAACTAGGAACCAGCAGCAGAGTATTTAGCCTTCAGTTCAGCCTCTTAACCTTTAAAAGGAGAGAACTGCTGATTTATAGTCAGTTTAACAGTAACTCAGTGGGCTGTTATCTGGTTACGGGATTCAATAAAACAAATGTGGAATTACCTAAGGTATTTTAACTGTATTGATACTTCTCTAGCCTGTGGTTACTGTTGAACTTCTTAACTTAGAGTGGAGACAGAAAAGCGCAGCACACAAATGTATTCAGTTAGAAACTTTATTCGATACAAATATGACCGCAAGCCACACTTTGTTAGCTTCATTAGGCCTGCATTTTTCTTTTCTTCTTACAACTTATTTTGTTCTTTAAACACTTTATTATTAAACCACATCTCTATACAAATCTAACAGCATACAGTTAAGGTATTTCTGCCGGTCAGACACAATCAAATAGCAAGCATTACCTCCAAACAGAATGGAACAAACGATCAGAATAAAACGAAAAGGCATCGACGACAGAAGAATGTGATGATCAGCACACACAGGATCATTTCCCACAGCAGTTGAGAGAGAACAAACAATATTATATATTTACATATACCACGTATCCCACGGTCATTGAGGATGAAGTGTGATTCTTCCACACGAGATGCTTTACTTTCATAGAAAGAATGGAATTCATTTTGTTAATCATAAAGATAGATTTCTATTTGACTTCAAACATTGTAGAGCACAAGCAAATTAAATGAAATGCAAAACAGGCATCTTAAAACAACACAAAAACAACTGAGCTGCAGAGTGAAAGCGGGAAACACTTCAGCGAAATAATGACGATAATAGTGACAATCTGGACGAAGCCACGATCGTAAATTGTGCTTTTTTTTGTATTTAATGGTTTTTCGTCAAGTCTCAATTCAATCAAGTCTCCGGCCGACTCTTGTCCTCAATAGCACACACACTATCATATTACACTTGTGCTGGAGGTATGATCCATGTCAGTGGAACGGCCCACGAGTCTTCTACGACACAACACACATAATGCCAGTGAAGCGCTTTCAAAAAGCTTCCTCAAGTATTTCCTGTTCATCTCCAAACAAGATACAATGGCTCTTCCTCTGGCTCCTCACCAGAGGCCCGGGATCAGCCTTTCCCCTTTCTCTCACACACACACACACACACACACACACACACACACACACACACACAC